TTTTTTTTTTTTTTTTTGGGACAATTTGCTCCAATCTATTCGTGGGGAGCAGCACGTGCTGGAAACCGGGTCCAGCGTCCCACTTGAATTATTACACAACATATGAGGTGTCGGGGCCATTACCCGGCTTCGGCTAAGAATCTTTTTGGATGAAAAGCTAAAAAATTGAATACTATGCTATATCAGCAATTACAGCTTCCTAAACATAGAGCAACTCCTAGCCCTCCCTATACCAGGACATTACTGCTCAAAAACAGTACGGACCAGACCAACCTCATCCATAGCTGACCTCTTCTCGCCACCAAGACAATCCCCGACCCCATAGGGTGTCAAGGCGGCCCCCCGCAATTCGCCACTGGCTTACCTTCCCCCCTCGGCAAACCCCAGATCTCTTTACAAGGCCTCACACTCCTGTCGTTGCAGGTTACAGGGTAACACCCCAGCTCCGGCCAGCGTCGTTCTAGCATCGGCAAACTGAGGGCACAGAACAGAGCAACTCWGCCGATGTCAGTCCAGGTGCAACCATCTCTGAAATCGAATATCCTAATGAAGAAGAAGACCAGATGCTGCTCTAGCTCTCAGAACCCCGGAAGGCTTAATATAACATAATTTGTCCAAGAAGCTTCCAAGAGTCACCGCGCAGAGAAACTTCCCCCAGCCCACACACCTTGTTCCATGCTGCCACCGCCGAGGAAAACCACCCCGGCCCCAACCTGGAACAGACCCCCTCCTTCCCCCCCCATCCGCAAAGGCAGCCAATTCCCGCCTAGAGGATACCTTCGCCCTCCCCTTGTCCCTATCTGCCCCCGCCGGGGTTGAAGGCGCCAACTCTCCCACCCCGGCCCCAGACATGGACAAAACCACTAATCTGCCCCACCCCCGACAGGGCAGCCACCTCCCACCTTGCAGCGCCCCTGTAAAGTAAGGCTCCCCAATACCAACCCCCACCCTTCCCCCAAAAATCCACACCGTGACCACAAAAGCCCTATCCCGACTGAAGCACACCCATCGGATG